AGTTTCTTTGCCGAGCTGCCAGTGGGGAGCCCGTGCATGTCCGTGCCCTTTTTGTCTTCAACAGCTGCCGTGTCCATCTCCACTCCCATACGATTCAAAGATCTTTCCCTTCTTATACAACGACCCGCGTCTGGTCTGCCCCTTGTAAAGTTCCATGCATAATATATAAATCTCTCAGACTTTCCAGAGTTTTCTCTGCTTTTGTATGATCAAAAAGGTTTCAGTCGGCATGCATCCATGCCGTGACATAATCAACTGGCTTCTTTATTATTTAAATATGTTTGTTTAGCCTCTTCTTCCTCCAATTGCTTATTGTTCAAAAAGTAAAAGGGTAGAGAGAATAAAACCAAGCTACGAAGAAGATACGTGTTCCATGCGCTGCGAGCGACAGGAAGCTGCAGGGAGAGAACAAGAAGTTTATTAGTGTTGATCATCTTCAATCTATTATATTTTTCAAGAAACATAAAAAAAAATCAATTTTATGTCACCTTTCCGTTCCTACTTGGTTATTTATCTATAACATTTAAAAAAAATACATAAAAAAATAAATATCAGACGACCTTTTAAAGCCATGACTTTTAAAACCACGTACACTCAAAACCGTGGACCAGCGCTGGAGAAATCTGCCAATGGAGGCCCAGCTCACGGTCTCGGATCTTCACATCCAAGGGGAGGGAGGCTCGAGAAGTTGAGGGGCTCTCTCACTTAGATTTCAATCCTGGCAAGATAATCCCAAAAAGTGGCCCAGTGGTAGAAATCAAATGCATTCCTTCCTAGAAAAGTCTGTCCGAGCGAGATGCAGACAACTAGCTACTTGTTAGGTAATCCCAAATCTTAACGTCAAAACCATGAACATCTCGGATATGGAGAACACATTGTTTTGTTAAATCAAGCTGGTGATTCTGTACATGAATTTCAAGATGCAGAAAGGAGAAATTTAAAAATAAAATCACAAAATATTTGGGCCTAATGATCTCTTGCAATGAGCAATAGCAGCCTGGATTGAGTTGTCCTGACCACATATTTTGTGATTCTGATTTCCACTAGAGAAACCCAGGTGAGTTGGGGAGGATTTTGTGGAACTTGGACAACTTTTAGATTTTCTATCTTTCCCACCAATGCTAGTACTCATTGCTTCCAAAACTCCTCTAATTGCATCCAAGTTCTTCTCCATAACTCTTGACCTGTCACCATTTCCGAAAGGGTTGTTCGAGTTGCTGCCGCTGCCTTGTCCTTTTCGCACTAACCAGTTGTCAAAAGGCTTTATTAACGTCTGATATGTCCCAATGTTTTTCTTTTCTCGGGGAAAGTTAATTTCTTGGCGAGACTTCATAAATGATGCGAGCAAAGTCCGAATTCTCAAGGTTCGAAACTTGACCAAGAACTTCATCATGATGCCACTGCTGTTCATTGCTGTTTCCTTCGATCCTTTCATCGTGCTTTGATTGAATTGAAACAGGAAATCAACATGGCAAGTACTCAGTGATTATTGCAATATCAAATGCCTATAGTCATCATCATATACAAATAAATATAAATTATTGCAAATGATATCTGTACCCACATCGCTGTATATTAGTTGCCTCCTCCTGAAAAACTCGAGAAACTAAAGGGGCAAAAAGCTATCCTTTATCCTTGTTATTTTCCGGGTTTATCTCTTGATTTGCGTTTAGTTAGTATCATAGTGTAGAAGAGGAGATCATAGACTAAATTGAAATGGACGACTCAAGGTCCATCTGCGTAAACTTGTGACCATGGGCCCTTTTTTTTTTTTTTTTTCAAAGTCTAATATATTTTTAATGAACAATACTGATATCGAACATGGCCATTTCTGAAAAAAATGCCATAAGAAAATCGAAAACTGAAAATCAGAAAATATTGAAGGATACCTGGGGCGTACAAGCTCCAAGTGATTGCTGTTAGCCGGACGGCCATTTTCATTATTGGCCTCTGATGATACCGTTAAACTGGGCTTTAACATATTGAGAAAACCGTTAACTTTAGGAAACTGAGCCTTCCTTTTAATGGTCTTTTGGATTCTACAATTAGAATTAGAAGCCTTGGACCCCGTTTGAGTATCCAATTGATCACCCTCCTTGGAAGGAGAAGAAGAGTTCATAGTGAATGTTGTTGTTTTTGTTGTTGATGACGATGGAGACTTTGACATTGTCGCAGGAGACTCGTACTCAATGCTGGTTGTTGTGGTGGAGGGTTCTTGGAAGGGAACGCTAGAAGAAAATGATATACGGAGCTCCATTTCCTCATCAGCCCGGTCATCAATATCTCCATGATAATTCTTCTGTTCAATGGCTATCTCAATGTAGGATTCATCGTCGCTTTCATCGGAGAAAATGGACTGGAATGATGAGGAGTTGAAGTCATAGCAGCTGCTGAATGAGAAGCTCTCTTCTAGCTCTTGATCTCTGTATGCGATACTTGCCATGTTAGATAGTTATTCATCGGCTAATCACAACAGGAGTATTGAGATATTTGTGAAGCAAATGATTCTTGACATATTTTGAGGTATTTATGATGATCATAATCTCAAAACCTATAATAGAAAACGAATCCTTACAGATAAAAAAGATCAGAGGTTGTTGGAATGAGGGTAGAAAAACATGAGCATGGAGGTAATATTAAGCTAAGGTAGATTTGATTTAATCAAGAAATTTTGCTAGTTAGCTAAGCTTTAACCTTTTTGCTTTTGGTTTTGGTTGAAGAGTCTATGTCTAATGTAGTCTTGGTCCAAATCAGACAACGCCAGTGGTTATGTTATTTGAAGAGTCATCATTTTAGACCCTTGTTTATTCTAATAAACTGTGTTAGAAGATGAACACTTGGGCTTGTATTTTTGGTTTAATAAACCTCAAAATCCCTCGACCTCCGTAATTCAATATTCTCTTCTCAGAAGAGACTAACCCATCTTACGTTTGCAGATTTGGTTGTGTCTGCTACACTTGTTTTTCAATTTTGTTACAGATTATGACCTCTTAACCCATCTACCAGTCCTCTTGTGCCATATGCCATGGCACGTCTTCCACTTTTATACATTGAACCAGACTTGGTCCATGTGTTTGCCTTTTCGGTCTCCCCGGCAAAGCCAACTCTCATAGTATTAGGACCAGCTCGGCAATCTGATTCTTGTAATTGTTAGTTGCAATCTTGAAATAAAACCGCAAGTTCATGCTGAAATTTCCCCAGTATCAGGAAGGGAAAGGGACTGTCTGGTCTTGTCTTACATCATCTGGTGTTGATACTTGGCAACATATCATCATGTTTCGTGTGAATATGCGCCTATAAGGCTGATAAAAGCTGATTTCTGTGCTGAAACAGGGTACCATGTCCTCAGAAATATTCCAAGAGAAGGCGGATCCAGCTCCTGGTGCTTGGTTTTGAAAATGTGTAATAAAACAGAATTGAACTACCCCATTTGCTGTGTTTGTGATGTTGGAAACTTCGAAACCTGCTTTGAAACTAACTACCTATGTGGGCCTACGATTCCTTCTTATGAACGGTCTTGCTTGTTCCTCAATCTAGTAATCAAATTAACTGCAGAAATCAATCAAATGAAGCCTGGATTTAAGGTAGTTTGATGACGTCTTCTAGATGGAGCTGGCATTGGTGCATGGCTCCATCCTGTTATTTTATTCGAGTCATCCTTTCATATTGCTTCAAGAATCATAATTTTCCCTGGATTCCTGCGCTCTAATTTGGTTCATATTTTTCTGAAAAATCAACAAGCAAGCACAACACAAACACACAGCCTGGACCGATGATTTTTTCTGATCTTATGCAGCTACAAGCAATGTCAATCATAAAGTTGAAACGGATTTATTACCAACGTCAAATCTCCATCTTGAATGAAAAATTCACCAAGACTTTTCTTGGGTTCCCAAGTCATATAATAGACCATCAGTTTAGAACAGTCAGACTGCTGTGTGAACTCAATTAACAGGTTTTGTTTTATTTATTTTCTGCTTTCCGTGTCTAGCTAGTTTTCTCCTTTTGATTATTCAAACGTAGATTGAAACTATGATAATTTTTTTTTGTATCTCTTAAAAAGAAATGGATCAAAATTTAAAGGTCGCTGTTGTCTGTCCCCTTCTTGAAAGGAACATTTTTTCTTTTACAGGAAATTTGATGAATGCATAGATGTCAATGGTCGTATATTGTTGACAAAGTCGTGCAAGGGCTAGCTCAATCACAATCTAGACTCTAGAGGTCAACTTGAAGCTGCATTTTGAACAAGATCCAAGCTTTGGGCAATAAAGAAATAAAAACTTGCTGTCTCTGTACATGTGCTAATTATCTTGGAAGATGCATAAGCAAAGAGAGAATGCTCATGCTCAGGCACATGGAGCTAAGAACACAAAGAAAGAGCAGACACCGCATGATGGGATCTAAGAGAAGCAGCATAGAAATACATGAGAGTGGAAATCCTGAAACGTCAAAATCAACAATGATATCTTATTAACACATACAAACATGAAGCCTGAGCATCGTTGGTACAATCATGACAATGATTGATTCATATTTCTATGTTCATGCATATGAAAACAAACCATAATTAAGACTAATTAACCACTGAAAAGAAAGCGAAAGAAAGGGAGCAAAAAAAAAAAGGGTTTTCAGGGAGAATTAAGATCATGAAGATGAATAATTAAACGCTTCTAACAAGAACGCTCCTCATCATTTCCTTAAATTCAAAGAAATCAACACGACCATCATGGTTGCTGTCGACAGTGATGATCATCTTCTGAATTCTGTCAATCTCTTTGGCTTCAGGGAATCCCAACTTCCTCATGACCACTTGCAGTTCATGTGCTGATATGTAACCATCCCCATCCTCGTCGAAAACCTTGAATGCCTCTGACAAATCAGATTCCTCCATTCTCATCCAAGCTTGATCTCCAATATCATTCGCAGACGCCTCCTCCTCGGCCGCATTATTATCGTAACCAAAGAAACTGTTGTCCAATGATTGATGAAGGGACACGAAATCTTCGAAAGAAAGGCCAATGTTGTCTGGCTTAATGTGGGATTTGATGGTGAATTCAAGCTCAGAGAAGTCAGCGTCGAGGCCAAGAAGGCTGAGTGCTTGACTAATTTCCTGGATGGTGATCATGCCATCGCCATTCTTGTCGAAAAGATCAAAAATGCGGCGGAGGCGAAGGGAATTGAGACTGGGGCTACGTAGACTAAAGGAGGAGGATTTCTTGGCAGAGGCAGAGGTTGCTGCTGCTTCCATAGTTTGCTTTATACGTACTTGGGTTGTTTCTGTTGCAGCAGTACAAACTAACTTAGATCCACCAGTAGCTAAACTGATTTGTTGTTGAAGGGATTTATTGCATGGCGATTGCGTTGTCAAAACGGTGAAGGACAAAGCGCGTTTGGTGGCGGGGAGCTTGTTTGGCCAGCCAGTGATGACTCATGACCATTTTCCTTGTGTTTCTTTTCCATGCCATCCCATGGATTTCAGCGTTATAAAAATTTAGATCAATCTTTAAAGATGATGAAGATACGAAGAGTCTTGCTAAGTATATAAATTTATTATTAAAATTAAATTTATTTTATATTTGTATATTGATCTCTTAACTAAATATATTTATGTCATTTCTGAGATATTAATCAAATATAATTTAAACATTTTCATTCAATATGAGATAAAATAAAATCCAT